CCAGCCTCAGGACTATTTAGACTGAACAAGACCATTCAGATTTTTTTTTTTCCTAAGATGCTTTAAGTGGGTTCTGCACTAGATGATAATTTGTTTCAAACCATCTTCCTGGTTTAGAGCCAGAGTTCGAACATCTTCTCTAAGGGCATGTCTCTAGACTTGACACCTGAGCTTACCTCTAAACAAGCTGGTTTGGGTACTAGAGCCGTATACCCCATTAGCATGGTACTGTCTGAGCTAGCTTACTGTATTGAGGAAAAGTTTATTTAGAGCTAGCTCAGATGTCCCCTGATACAAAATGTCATGCCATGCAGAATACCTCCACTTGTGGGGCAGCTAGCTAGAGCAGAGCTGACCACCTTCTGGACGTCGGGGGCAGGGGTGTTACATGTGTATGGGTTGCACACTAAGTGCACGGCTGAGCTCTCCCTCTATCACACAAGTGTCCTCCTGCCACCTTGCCCCGTCCTGGAGAAAGGAAGAAGGAAGGCTGGAAAACCTGGTCACTACTGCAGCAGGGGCCACGGAAATTGGAATATTTCAGTTTTGAAGCTACAAAGCTGCAAACTTTGCTATACACCTCTGAGAAATGAATGCAATAGTTGAAGTTCTTGGGAATCCGTAATTATAGCTGCTCTTAGCCAAATTATATAAAAATGGTTTTAAAAAAGGGTGAATCACAAGGTTAGTGTTCACTTTGGACACAATAGCTATTTGCCCATGTGTGGGGGCTCTTGAAAGCATTTTTAAGTGACTATTACGCTTTTATCACTGTATCCTTTGGGGCAAGACAGTAGTAGACAGAATGAAGAGCAGAGTCATCCAAAACTAATTGCCTAGGAGAGCGGACAGAATTTGCTAGAGATTCCTATATTGTATATCCTTAGAATTGTCTTTTGTTAATTGCTATCCCAGTTTTTTATAGCTTACCTGTGTTTAAGAAGATAACTGTCTCTAGTGGGTTTTACGGAATAGAGAGAGGTCCCACACAATATATTGGTTCAAATTAGTACGCTGGTGGGGGTGAGGTTGAGCCTTGTGTGTTCTCACAATGACCACGGTTTTGATTCCTTTTAAGATGTTTATTAAAACTCCTTACTACGCATATAACACTGCTTAGCTTTAAGAAATACCACAAACATTAAAAACACAACAACTACATATATCAGAAACAATGCTCCAAACGCACTTCCTTTCCAAACAATGCTATAAGAATTAGTATTGCAAAACCAGTTACAATTACAACTAAAGGTTAAATTCGAATCACTACTGTTATTTCTCATGCTTACAATCCTAGAATTCCGAGAAACCAAATCCGCAGATATACTTTCATTCTTCAGTCCCACTCGGGGCGCTCCGCGGCTTCAGCGTGAACAAGAGTGCTTTGTTCACGGAGAGGGTGGTTCAGGTGATCAGTCTGATCCGGCCTACACTTGCGATTCTTCCTTCGTTGTTCTGCAAGTGAGGTTACCTCCAAATTGAGACTGTAGGTTACAGTTTTTATTGGGTAAGTTGCCGTCTTGGGCCCTTCCTACCCAAACCTGTCACTACTCCCAAATTTGGGCTCGGATCTTACTCAACAGGTTTTGTTAGGTGGTCAGTTTGTCTTCCGCAACGGAATTTGTCTGCTGACTATTTAGTTTATCTTAAATTTTGCTTTGGGAGATTTTCCATATCACTGCAGTGACCTTTCTTTTACAACCCCCTTTCAAAAGGCTCCTAGGGTTTGATCTCTCAGAATGTTTGCTTTAAGGGTTGTTTTTTTTTTTGCTCACTTTTTCCAGGCAAGGCCAGATTTCACAATTTCTGCAAAATCCCGATTTTGGTAGCTCCCTAGTTATGGACAGTGATTTCTGTGTTCTGTTGTTGTGTAAAGAGCAAAAAAACAGTATGTGTAACTTGAAGGAATTGCATTGGCAGAGGGGGATGCAAATCTTTACTAACATGCACATCGTGCTGCCTATATGCACTGCTACTCTAGCAGTGGTTTTGAAACCTGACCCAGGCTGAGCACCGCTAGAGGGCTCTCAAACTCTTAGAAGATGATTACTCCTAGTTCTGCATGTCATGTATCAGTATTGCAGCACTTAAGCAAGGAATGTAATGGGATGTTTTTCAAAAGAATGTCCTCAAATTAGGGTTCAAAGAGACCTCAGGAGGTCATGTAGTCCAATCCCCTGCTCAAAGCAGGACCATCCCCAACCATATCATCCCAACCAAGGCTTTGTCAACCCAGATCTTAAATGTCCAAGGATGGAGATTCCACCGCCTCTCTGGGTCACATGTTTCAGTGCTTTACTACCCTCCTAGTGAGAGAAGTTTTTCTTAATATCTAACCTAAATCTCCCTTGCTTCAACTTGAGACTGTTGCTCCTTGTTCCGTCATCTGTCACCACTGAGAACAGTCCAGCTCCATCTTCTTTGTAACCCCACTTCAGGTAGTTGAAGGCTGTTATTAAATCCCCTCTCAATCTTGTCTTCTCTAGACTAAATAAGCCCAGTTCCCTCAGCCTCTCCTCAGAAGTCATGAGCCCCAGCCCCCCTAACCATTTTCATTGCCCTCCACTGGACTCTCCAATTTTTCTACATCTTTTCTATAGTGGGAGGCCTAAAACTGGACATAGTACTCCAAATGTGACCGCACCAGTGCTGAGTAGAGGGAAATAATCACTTCTTTCAATTTGCTGGCAATGTTCCTACTAACTAATACAGCCCAGTATGCTGTTAGCCTTCTTTGCAACAAGGGTATGTTGTTAGCTCATATTCCAAGTATGGTCCACTGTAACCCCCAGGTCCTTTTCTGCAGAGCTGCTGCCTTAGCCAGTTGGTCCCCAGCCTGTACTGGCACATGGGATTGTTCCATCCTATGTACACAACTTTGCCCTTGTCCTGTTGAACTTCATGAGATTTCTTTTGGTCCAGTCCTCCAATTTGTCCAAGTCTCTCAATGCTATTACCCTCCAGCATAATTACTAGTCCCACCTTGCTTGTTCCAGTGGCACATCTGAAGTGTAAGCATAATGGATGGGTCTCTCAAGGCTAGATTCTTTCTGAACTAAAGACTAAGAGCTAGGAAAACAGGACTCTTGATAGGAGTGTCAGGGTTTCCCAACAAGGAAGAGTACCAGATCTGCCCATGGACTCCTGAGCGCGCACAACCTCCCAAAGGAAAGGGGACCTAAAGAAAGGACCATTGTATTCAGGATATTTTTCTGTGTAATTCAGGCTCTCTTGTGCTTTGCCTGTTCAGTAAGGCAATAGTATTTTCGGAACCCATGTGCAAAGCCTGCATATGTGTCAAAATGCTCATTCTTGACTACTCAAGAAGGAGGCAAAATGTGCAAATCAGAAATCTCCCACTTCTGGGGTGGGCGGAGGAGTATTCAAGCTCTGTAGGAATCAGGCATTGGCACAATCAAGCAACAGGAAGGAGTTTAAGCCAGAGCATGCCTCAAGGTCTACCGGAGCAGTGGCTTGACTCTTGTTCAGCCTCTAGATGCTTAAAGCACACACAAGACTCGGCGGCTGTGCTCTCTCATAGCAGTTGGGAAAGCTGTGTCGGGCCAGGTCTGTCACTTGCCCTTCATTGTGAACATTGTGGATTTGCTCAGACACCAGACAAAAACAGCATGGGAGAAAAGGATATTTCTTCACCCTGAGATGGGAAAACAGAGAAGGGCATCTTCTGCTTCATCCTCTGCTTCGGTAGCTTGTCATGCAGTGGCTGCTTGACCACGTGTACTTGGTGCTTTATTTGCCCAAGTGTGCTGGAGTATGAAGGGCAGCAAGTAAATATTTATTGTATTTAAGGTCATCCTTCACCAAACATAGATCAGAGCAAGACTGAGGTATTGATGAGGTGCCAGGTGTGGATCACTTCTGAGTATGCACTGGTCTAGGTACCTGGGGAACTTTTCAGGTTCAACTGTAAGCAGGAGGCGGTTTTGCAACTATGGATTTGGCTCACTCTTTGAAACACAGTGCTGAAATGCTGCCTAAATCCTGCTTAGTTTTTACAAGGTTTAGTTGACTCTGGCTGTAAAGGCTGTGTCCCCATTAGGCACAGAGCATGCATTGTGCCCGGCTCTGGTTTAGGAATGCTTGCAGAAGCTTTTTCTGAAAGGTTCTGTTGTGTGTTTTAGCCAGATTTGGGATCTTGACAGCTCAGTTGCAATGAACTTTGCTGTATGATGGGTTTTCAACCATTTTTAATAAGTGTACCCCTGATCGGTGGACGCGGAGTGGGGCGGGGGGTGGCGTGCGGCTGGATGCAGAGTGGGGAGGGGTGGTGGCTGCCATTCGCGTGGAGCAGTGATAGCGTGGGGTGGTTAGTGGTGCTGGCAGCTGCCATGTGTGAGCTCTCCCCACCCAGCATCCGGCTGGCTGGGCGGCACCTGTGCGGCCTGCAGAGGGGCACCACTGCCTTCACCCCCCCCGGCCCTGAGAGGCATCACGCAGGGTAGTGGGTGGCGGCGCTCCGTCCCTGCCCACCTGTGTATAAACCCCTTTCAAAATGGCCAAAACCAGTTTTAAAGATAAACCTGAATGGATGTAGTATCAGACTGAACTGATTTATGTTAAATCACTTTATTTCACTTCTGTCCCAGATCTCCTCCAGATTCAAGTGAACTCCCAGTCCCCGCAGCATCCCACGGGGGTGTGGAGGGAGGCTAGCTTTGTTGCACAAACTGCTAGTTTCGTGCCCCTGGAGGCTTTTTCCAATCCACCTCAAGGAGAGAGTCACACACAGTCAGGCTGGGTCCACATCTTTTATTGTTTGCAAACAGTTCGACCGGGGAGCAGAGAGCTCAAATCAGGGCCGACGATGAGTCCGGCCTGGAATTACATTTTTATAACTTACATTCAACAGAGTCTTGACGTACTAGAAGTTTATTGGCTGCGGTACCAGTTCCTAATTGTGACGTCTGATCTTGTAGGCTGTACTTAACTAGTTATTGGGTAATGTGACTTATCAGGGTTAGTACATTGGGACGCTCAGAAGAAAAGAGCAATTTCAACAAAGTTAGTTAAACTTTAGTAACTTCCTATCTTAACATAACCTTAAGGCACTGGACAGAGATAATTTCAAAATGCAAGGCAAGCAGTAAGAACCACAGACCACAGCTTGGACATTAGACCTCCTGATCTTTACACAAAAGGGTCATACAATGGTCAGAAGACACTTCTATCATATGGTTGTTGCTCAAGCATTACTGCAAAATTATGGGGGCTAACGTCTTTTTACTACAGCTTTGACCCAAGCTTTGTGCTCCAGCCAAGCAGGGAGGCATGCTCTAGCGCAGGGGTTTTCAACTTTTTAAATAAGTATAGCCCCGGCAGCTGGACGCGGTGCAGCAGCAGTGTGGGGTGGTGGGAAGCTCCCCCACCCCGGGTCCGGCTGGCCGGGTGGTGCTTGTGTGGCTCACAGAGGGGTGCTGCTGCTCTTGTCCCCCCAACCCCCCCGGCCCTGCTCCTGGGCGCTGGTAGCACAGGGTGATGGGTGGCGGCACTCTGTCCCCGCGTGTACCCCCTGAGGCCTTCCCAAGTACCCAAGGGGGTATGCATACCCCCAGTTGACAACCCCTGCTCTAGTGCACCCCTGGCTTCTGGCCTGGGCCAATGTGGCTGAACTTCCACAATCAGAAATGAATGTCTGTTCACTTATCATTTCAATTTGCACAGTTTAGACTAACCTGCCAGAATTGAATTAATTGAGCCTCAGGCTTTTTGACTGTACATAGCCCAAACAAGCTATTGCCCTTTTTGTGGTGCCTCTAATACAGAGAAGAAAGGGGCATTTGGGGACCAGTGCATGAGGCTCGCAGCACCATCTACAACAATTCTGAGAAATAAGGTAATGGCAAATTTTTCCCACCTCTCCCTAGCGAGGTAGGGCACAGATTTTGTAGGGCTGAGGGTTCATAGTGAGTCCTATTCTGAACCGGAGGTTGAGCTTCACATCCTTTGGAGCCTGGAACGTGAACTTCTGAAAAAGGGCGGTGAAGAACAGGAACAGCTCCGTTCTAGCCAGCTGCTCTCCCAGGCAAACCCTTTTCCCTGAAACGCCAGCAACATTTGGGTGTATCAGCCAAAGGATGGTGTTAGAAAGTGACATTGGGTTTCATGACAAATGAGGCTTTAACTTTCCACAGCAGAACGAGCATTGTTTTTATTGCATGACCATAAAGGATAGGAGATGGTGTTTACCACCAGCTTCTCTTTTGCTAGCTTAGTACTAAATTTTCCCAGCAGCCCCTGGATAAGCCTGGCCTCGGCTGCTGTTCTTGTCCACAGCGGGACACTGCCTGTCCCACTGCCATCTCTCCATCTTTTTTGTTCAGTGAAAATCCAGTGCAAAAAAACCCACCAAGTGGAGCTGAGGGGGAGGGTGGGGACAGGCCAGAATCCAGAGCCTCATCCCGTGACCAATTCCATGAACCAGACTGTCTCGAGCATGTACCTCTCCTGGTGCCACCTGTCTTCTTCTCTTGACTGCCAGACTTAACAGGAGCAGGAGGGGAGGCTGCTCTGTGGAGGCCTAGTCTCCAGTCTGGTAGTGAGGGCACTTCGCTAGCAAGTGGGATAATCCGTTCAGACCCCTGCCGGGTGAGTCTTGTCTTCAAGCCCCAGTGGAGCAGGATCTGCTAATCCATTTATTCAGTGACTATCACATGCCAAAACAGGTAGTGGTTGCAGGGGTGGTGGAGGGTCCCAAAACCAAACCCAGAGCATTCTCCTTTTCTGGACTGAGCCCATGCACTGAGCCACACTCCCTTCAGCACATGCTCTTACAGACCCCACAGACTATTCCCAGTACACCAGTTTGAACAAAACGGGTAGAGGTGGCTCCTTGCTGTTCCTATTCCCTAGTGGGGGGTTCAGAGCATTTTACTGGGGAGTGCGAGATAAGGGGTCAAGTCCCTCTGGGCCTCCTACTATATTCATGGGGATGTACACACAGCACTCTGTGCTCTGGTGGACTGGCTGCAGGACACAGCTCCCAAGTATTTAAGGCAACACTGTGGAGCAGGACCCAGGCTGATCTGTGCTCTCTCATCCCTACCCCTGGTGCTTAGCTGGTCTCCTGCTTCTGACATTGGCTCACCTCTTGGCCCTCAGCCATAATCATGAGGCCAAGCTGGCTTCACTTTGGTCCATTATAAAACAACATGCACCTCAGCCCCAGGACCCAAGCCTTGGCCATGATTGCCATTTCTGATCTTTCCATGACACCTTACAGAAGTGCTCTGGCCAAAACCAAAAACCCAGAGGCCCAAACCTGATGCTAATGAAAAGAACAGAGTATGTCCCACCTGCTGAGAAGGGCAGGAAAGCTTCCCTCTTTCTGAACTGTCCATCCTTCAGAAAGTGCTCAGGGTTAAAGGCATCGGCAGTTTCCCACTCGTTCTTGTCAAACAGCACTGATGTTAAGTTGCAGATCAGACTGGTACCCTGGGAAGAGAGTAAGAAGGACTTTAAAAAAAAAACACCCCAATCTTTGTTTCCTCTTTAAATGTGACTCACAAAGAGAGGAAAAAAGAGAAGCTGGATCAAGCTTTTCTTTTTCAGCTTGTATGATGTATGAAGAGGGGTGTTTTCTAGACAGGACATTTATTCTGCCTCTTTCATTTATTTATAATCGTATAAGGTGACTGGAGCAATGCACGGGGTCACACGTCCTTGGTTCACACTGACTGACCAAACTCTGGTCACTTTGGCTGAGCTCCAGCATGAAGTTATTCCTCAGTGGACACATCTACATGTGTCATTAGTATGCAGCAACCAAGTGTGGAGCTTATTGCTCCTGGGAAGCTCCTGGGTGTACAGTTTACATGTGCACCCAGACCGCAGCACATTGAGCTAGATTGCAGCAGACCCAGCGGGCAGGGGCTCAAGGGGTCCGCTTGCCTGCCCAGGGCTGCTGGGACCCGGCTCGACATGCTGTAGAGGAGCTGGCTGGGGCACGAGGGTGCTTCAGCCAGGGGCTAGTTGGCAGGCAGCCCCCACACTGAAACACCTTTGTGCCCCAGCCAGCCCCGGTCACTGTCTACATGTGCACTGCTGTGCATGAACAAACTCTGCAACAGGATAGTACTTGGATTTACAAATCCTGCCATGCCGTGGAGTTTATTAGTTGCGTGCACCCTAATAGGAACACACACGTAGACGCCAAGAGGTTTCCTCCGCAGTAAATTAGCTCTGCAGTAAACGTCTCGTGTAGACACACCAAGATATAAGCTCAGGACCACTGAGACAGGGTTCTGCACTTGACGAAGCATCAAGGGAGGGACAAAATGAATCTGCCCAGCTAACTCAAATGGCTGGGGTAGGAACAGCCTGCTCCCTTCCACGAGGAGAAGCTCTTGACTGGCAGGCTGGATGGAGTCAGTGAGAAATGCTGCCCAGAGAGGGAGTATCCCTCTGGAAACTTCACTTTATATTACTAAGGACCAGCTGTAAAGTACAGGCCTGGACCTGGGTTGATTCCCTAAGTGGGTTCAGATTCTGACCCTCACCCTGCTTGCCCCAACATGTGAAGGTGATTAACTGCATAGCTCTGGTTTCATCTCTTTATTAGTTTCCTCAACCAAGATAAAGGAAGTCAGACTATGTTGCCTTCCAGGTTACCTTTGGCAGGTGGAATCCAGCCAGCGTTGTGTCCCTGGTTGTCATTCGGGGCACATTTAAAGGTACAATGTTGCCCATCCTTTGAATTTCATGTACCACTGCATTGGTGTATGGCATGTTGTCTCTGTCATCCATGGCTGGCTGGCGGGACTGGCCAATCACCGTGTCGATCTCTGCTTGCACTCGCTCTACAGAAAAAGTAGAGTTGAACGTTGGTGCAAAAACAAGCATACTCTTGAAACTACGGGCGTAGAGCGTCAGAAGTTGGAGCTCTAAGATTCAGCCTCAGAGATCAGGTTCGACATCTCAACGTCAAACTATGTAAGATGTACACCTGTGAAGAGGGCTGTATTTCACTGGCTGGAGGGAGAGGAATATATAAGGAAGGGTTACTTGCCTGTGATGCTGCAGCAGCATTGGAAGGAGAAAAAAACCTGTTCCCAAACCATGATAATCCCAATAGCATAACAAGGGTGGGACGACAGGGGCAATTACTTGAGAGGCAGATGAATAGTAGCTGCCACCACAGCAGCCAAGTCACACTGGCAGCATGGCGCCTGCCAGAAGTCACTGCTGCCCCCATAAACCCTGCTACCCTGGATGCCAGGCCACCTCGTTATGCCTCTGGATGATCCCACTGCTGACACCGTGGCATCAGCGTCCACTGACACAACCAGCTGACCGAGCAAGGACATCGCCCAGTGGAGGGAACACTAGATTGGGACTAGGGAGACCTGGGTTTTATTTCAGGCTCTGTTTCTGGCTTTCTGGGTGACTTCATGGGAAAGTCACATTTTTCCTTGTGCCTCAGTTTTTCCCACCTATAAAATGGAGCTAATCCTCTTTTTTTTTTTCCCCCCCAAACACCATGAGCTTTATTGTGAAAAGCCCTTTGAGAGCTTGAGATGAATAAACATCTGCGTGGAAGGCACAAGGTATTGACTCCAGGCTCTCCCACTTCCCCCTCAAATAATTAATGTTGAAATGTCTTCAATACATATTTTATTTTGTCCCCATCCCAAACAGCAGGGTCAGAGTCCCAAGCCTGTTTCAAAGCACATTGGAATATGAAGAAACATATTCACTGGTTTTGTGTGTAAGGCAAAGCTCCCACATTTTCCCAGCACAGGCTTTCTCTGAAACTTTATCACATGGACCAACATGCCCTATCTGCCCTGCCCTGCCCTATCTGCATTTACTGAAGCTGGTGTCCTTGGGACACAAGTCAGTGCGGAGGATAAAATTGATCTCGGGCCACGTTTTAGAAATGAAGGAAACCCCCTTCATTCCCAGCAATCAAAGTCCTTTCAGAAATGAGCAGCATCCTTCTATCAGGTACATCAAATATCAGGGACTTCAGCCCCCTGCTTGAGACTCAAGATGGTTTTCTCCTTCCATCAATGTTATTGACACTCTGGATTTTGCTCCTTGCTTCTTCATTAGTTGCTGGGTATTTAATTGAGGGCAAAAGTCACTGTAATACAAGGAAAGATTTCTGACTGGGGGAAATCTTTGGAAAGAAAGCATTTGGGCACAGGTTTTTCATAATGCAGCATTTGAAATCTCATCATAAGCCTCTCATGCTGGGATACAGCCATAACCATTTTACCTTGAATTTCTGGATACATGGCCATGTACAGTAGGCCCCAGAGGATGGTTGTGGAGGTTGTCTCAGTTCCAGTAAAAAAAAGGTCCAGAGTAGAAAATAAAAGATTATTTTCATGGAAAGATGAACTGGCTTCATTCTGAAAAGAAACACACCAGTTCTACTCATGTCCATATAAATAATATTAATATGATTCAAAGCCATGTTCCAGGCTCAGGCTTGCAAGGTGCTGTGCGCCATCAGTGCCCATCAACTTCAGTGAAAGCTGGCAGCCCCCAGCGCCGCCAAGCATAGGGCTTACAGCAGAAAAGACTGCCGTGTTTTGAGAACAACGTTTGTGCTGCTTTTAGAGCCGAGGGCTTGATTCATGATACCTGCTGGCCACAGCTGGTTTTGGTTCTGGACCCAGAGCCCAGTTAACACTTTTTAAGACATTTTTAGGCCTCAGCTCATCACCATGTTCAAACAGGTGCTTCTCTTTAAGCATGGGAGTTATGGGCTGCCAATGGGGGCTACGTTCACCCTCAAAGTAAAGCACATGCTTAAGTGCTTTATAAGGGGTCAGAGTCTCATGATACAACTGAATTGGCAAGTTCTGTATTCATTCTAGTTCAGCTTTCTTTTACACACAAAAAACCCGGGGGGGGGTGGGTTTCAGTCCCCCACTTGAGCAGCTGAGGCTGCTGTAATTTTGGTATCTGATTGGAACAGGGTTTTTTTTTTTCCATTTCTCTCTTACCTTTGCGATTTCCTTCAGATAGCAGTCAATGAAGTCCCTGGTGTCCGCTGGATTCCAGTCCTCCCTGTGCTTTGCAATCTCTTCTTTCACAAAACATTTCAGTTTTCCCCAGTTTTTAAAAAGGGTGTGATGGTGTCCTGGGAGCCACTTCATTAAGGTGGGGAAGGAATTATACAGCTTTGGGCACAGAGAGAGAGCAAAGAACATCACGAGTTAAAAGAAGATATGCATTTGATTTATATCCTGTCCGAGGCTCAGAGAAGCTTATGTTATATTGACTTAAACCCACAGCTTTGCTTCATTAACATTTGTCTCAATTTAGAATAGGTTATTAGAGTTTAATATCCCTGCCTACATATGCCTGAAGTAAAGCCTTCATGTTTTGTAGACAGAACCAAGACAGAGAAGGGCCAGTGCTGGACCGCAGGGCCATTCACACCTTTATAGCTAGAGAGCAAAGCAAAAGAGTCGTGATCATGATAAGCTGTAAGCCTCACCTCGGTGCTCGGGAAGCTCTTGGAGAGAATCATCAAGGAGCACATCTGTGGGGGCCTGTAAGGGAGTCATGCTCAGGGGCAATCAGCATGGGTTCATCAAAGGCAGGTCCTGCCAGACCAACCTGATTGCCTTTTATGACCAAGTAACTAAATCCTTGGATGATGGTGTCGCCGTGGACGTAGTCCTTCTGGACTTTAAGAAGGCCTTTGACACTGTCTCTCACCCCATCCTCATCATTAAGCAACTGTGTCATTGATGCCTGCACAGTCGGATGGGTAAAAAAGTGGCTGATGGGGTGCACCCAGAGAGTAGTGGTGGACGGGTTGTACTCAACCCGGTGAGATGTGAGCAGTGGGGTACCCCAGGGCTCGGTCCTCAGCCCCACACTGTTTAACATCTTCATGTTAAACTTGACATGACAAAGGGGTGGACTTGGACAAAGGGGTGGAAAGCACGCTGTCCAAGTTTGCTGATGACACTAAGATGTGGGGCGAGGTGGACACACTTGAAAGGAAAGAGAGGCTGCAACTAGATTTAGACAGACTACAAAAGTGAGCAGACAAGAATAGGATGGGGTTCAACGTAGACAAATGCAGGGTGCTGCACCTTGGGAGAAGGAATCCACACCATGCATACAGGCTGGGGAGTTCCCCTCTTGAAAGCACAGAGGCGGAAAGGGGTCTCGGAGTCATTATTGACTCCAAAGTGAACATGAGCCGCCAATGTCAGA